GCATGTCGGGTGCGATCATACCAGCACTAATGCACCGGATCCCATCAGAACTCCGCAGTTAAGCGTGCTTGGGCGAGAGTAGTACTAAGTTGGGTGACCACTTGGGAAGTCCTCGTGTTGCACCCCTTTTTTATTTCTTTTGCTCGTTATTTCAATTTCTCCCCGTTCCTTTACAAATGGCAACCTCCCCCGCTCACGCCCATCGCGTTTCTTCTCCCCAACGTGTCCGCGCGGGCCCCGCCGGCCGTTCCGAGCACGTGCGTGCACCCACCGTCGCCTCGATCATGCCGCCCCGCATGCGGTAAATGCAATTTGTGCGCATGGCATGTCGGGTGCGATCATACCAGCACTAATGCACCGGATCCCATCAGAACTCCGCAGTTAAGCGTGCTTGGGCGAGAGTAGTACTAAGTTGGGTGACCACTTGGGAAGTCCTCGTGTTGCACCCCTATTTTATTTCTTTTGCTCGTTATTTCAATTTCTCCCTTTCTTTACAAATGGCAACCTCCCCCGCTCACGCCCATCGCGTTTCTTCTCCCCGACGTGTCCGCGCGGGCCCCGCTGGCCGTTCCGAGCACGTGCGTGCACCCACCATCGCCTCGATCATGCCGCCCCGCATGCGGTAAATGCAATTTGTGCGCATGGCATGTCGGGTACGATCATACCAGCACTAATGCACCGGATCCTATCACAACTCCGCAGTTAAGCGTGCTTGGGCGAGAGTAGTACTAAGTTGGGTGACCACTTGGGAAGTCCTCGTGTTGCACCCCTTTTTTATTTCTTTTGCTCGTTATTTCAATTTCTCCCCGTTCCTTTACAAATGGCAACCTCCCCCGCTCACGCCCATCGCGTTTCTTCTCCCCGACGTGTCCGCGCGGGCCCCGCCGGCCGTTCCGAGCACGTGCGTGCACCCACCGTCGCCTCGATCATGCCGCCCCGCATGCGGTAAATGCAATTTGTGCGCATGGCATGTCGGGTACGATCATACCAGCACTAATGCACCGGATCCTATCACAACTCCGCAGTTAAGCGTGCTTGGGCGAGAGTAGTACTAAGTTGGGTGACCACTTGGGAAGTCCTCGTGTTGCACCCCTATTTTATTTCTTTTGCTCGTTATTTCAATTTCTCCCCGTTCCTTTACAAATGGCAACCTCCCCCGCTCACGCCCATCGCGTTTCTTCTCCCCGACGTGTCCGCGCGGGCCCCGCCGGCCGTTCCGAGCACGTGCGTGCACCCACCGTCGCCTCGATCATGCCGCCCCGCATGCGGTAAATGCAATTTGTGCGCATGGCATGTCGGCTGCGATCATACCAGCACTAATGCACCGGATCCCATCAGAACTCCGCAGTTAAGCGAGCTTGGGCGAGAGTAGTACTAAGTTGGGTGACCACTTGGGAAGTCCTCGTGTTGCACCCCTTTTTTATTTCTTTTGCTCGTTATTTCAATTTCTCCCTTTCTTTACAAATGGCAACCTCCCCCGCTCACGCCCATCGCGTTTCTTCTCCCCGACGTGTCCGCGCGGGCCCCGCCGGCCGTTCCGAGCACGTGCGTGCACCCACCGTCGCCTCGATCATGCCGCCCCGCATGCGGTAAATGCAATTTGTGCGCATGGCATGTCGGGTACGATCATACCAGCACTAATGCATCGGATCCCATCAGAACTCCGCAGTTAAGCGTGCTTGGGCGAGAGTAGTACTAAGTTGGGTGACCACTTGGGAAGTCCTCGTGTTGCACCCCTTTTTTATTTCTTTTGCTTGTTATTTCAATTTCTCCCCGTTCCTTTACAAATGGCAACCTCCCCCGCTCACGCCCATCGCGTTTCTTCTCCCCGACGTGTCCGCGCGGGCCCCGCCGGCCGTTCCGAGCACGTGCGTGCACCCACCGTCGCCTCGATCATGCCGCCCCGCATGCGGTAAATGCAATTTGTGCGCATGGCATGTCGGGTGCGATCATACCAGCACTAATGCACCGGATCCCATCAGAACTCCGCAGTTAAGCGTGCTTGGGCGAGAGTAGTACTAAGTTGGGTGACCACTTGGGAAGTCCTCGTGTTGCACCCCTTTTTTATTTCTTTTGCTCGTTATTTCAATTTCTCCCCGTTCCTTTACAAATGGCAACCTCCCCCGCTCACGCCCATCGCGTTTCTTCTCCCCGACGTGTTCGCGCGGGCCCCGCCGGCCGTTCCGAGCACGTGCGTGCACCCACCGTCGCCTCGATCATGCCGCCCCGCATGCGGTAAATGCAATTTGTGCGCATGGCATGTCGGGTGCGATCATACCAGCACTAATGCACCGGATCCCATCAGAACTCCGCAGTTAAGCGTGCTTGGGCGAGAGTAGTACTAAGTTGGGTGACTACTTGGGAAGTCTTCGTGTTGCACCCCTTTTTTATTTCTTTTGCTCGTTATTTAAATTTCTCCCCGTTTCTTTACAAATGGCAACCTCCCCCGCTCACGCCCATCGCGTTTCTTCTCCCCGACGTGTCCGCGCGGTCCCCGCCGGCCGTTCCGAGCACGTGCGTGCACCCACCGTCGCCTCGATCATGCCGCCCCGCATGCGGTAAATGCAATTTGTGCGCATGGCATGTCGGGTGCGATCATACCAGCACTAATGCACCGGATCCCATCAGAACTCCGCAGTTAAGCGTGCTTGGGCGAGAGTAGTACTAAGTTGGGTGACCACTTGGGAAGTCCTCGTGTTGCACCCCTTTTTTATTTCTTTTGCTCGTTATTTCAATTTCTCCCCGTTCCTTTACAAATGGCAACCTCCCCCGCTCACGCCCATCGCGTTTCTTCTCCCCGACGTGTCCGCGTGGGCCCCGCCGGCCGTTCCGAGCACGTGCGTGCACCCACCGTCGCCTCGATCATGCCGCCCCGCATGCGGTAAATGCAATTTGTGCGCATGGCATGTCGGGTGCGATCATACCAGCACTAATGCACCGGATCCCATCAGAACTCCGCAGTTAAGCGTGCTTGGGCGAGAGTAGTTACTAAGTTGGGTGACCACTTGGGAAGTCCTCGTGTTGCACCCCTTTTTTATTTCTTTTGCTCGTTATTTCAATTTCTCCCCGTTCCTTTACAAATGGCAACCTCCCCCGCTCACGCCCATCGCGTTTCTTCTCCCCGACGTGTCCGCGCGGGCCCCGCCGGCCGTTCCGAGCACGTGCGTGCACCCACCGTCGCCTCGATCATGCCGCCCCGCATGCGGTAAATGCAATTTGTGCGCATGGCATGTCGGGTGCGATCATACCAGCACTAATGCACCGGATCCCATCAGAACTCCGCAGTTAAGCGTGCTTGGGCGAGAGTAGTACTAAGTTGGGTGACCACTTGGGAAGTCCTCGTGTTGCACCCCTTTTTTATTTCTTTTGCTCGTTATTTCAATTTCTCCCCGTTCCTTTACAAATGGCAACCTCCCCCGCTCACGCCCATCGCGTTTCTTCTCCCCGACGTGTCCGCGCGGGCCCCGCCGGCCGTTCCGAGCACGTGCGTGCACCCACCGTCGCCTCGATCATGCCGCCCCGCATGCGGTAAATGCAATTTGTGCGCATGGCATGTCGGGTGCGATCATACCAGCACTAATGCACCGGATCCCATCAGAACTCCGCAGTTAAGCGTGCTTGGGCGAGAGTAGTACTAAGTTGGGTGACCACTTGGGAAGTCCTCGTGTTGCACCCCTTTTTTATTTCTTTTGCTCGTTATTTCAATTTTTCCCTTTCTTTACAAATGGCAACCTCCCCCGCTCACGCCCATCGCGTTTCTTCTCCCCGACGTGTCCGCGCGGGCCCCGCCGGCCGTTCCGAGCACGTGCGTGCACCCACCGTCGCCTCGATCATGC